ATTTATATGAGCGCTGATGTTGTAATAATAAATAAAATTCTTAATGCTTGTTATCATTTGACCACTAATTTCTTATCAAATGAATTAAAAATTAATATTAAACCTTAACCTTAAGACTTAAAGGGATTAAAAACAAAATAAACCTGAGAATTGAGATCAAGGAAATGATTGCTCACTGATTATGCTTTGAATTTTAATAATATTAATATTGAAAATAAGCTGAATATACAATAAATATATAATAAATGTATTACAGGTTTGAGACAGATATCTGAAGGTCGAGTGGCGGCCCTTCTATTGGCTGGCGGTCAGGGGACCAGACTTGGTGTCAATTACCCGAAAGGCATGTTCGACGTCGGCCTCCCCTCCCATAAGACTTTATACCAATTACAAGGCGAACGTATTCTTCGACTCGAGAAACTTGCGTATGATTTGACGGGAAAGAAGGGTTCAATTCCCTGGTATATCATGACCTCTGAAGCCACTAAAGAACCCACTCTTGAATTTTTTAAGAAGAATAACTATTTTGGTTTATCGGCTGAGAACGTGGTTGTTTTCGAACAAAGCACTTTCCCGTGCTTTCAATTTGATGGGCAAATCATTTTGGAGACGCCGTACAAAGTGTCGAGAGCTCCCGACGGCAACGGAGGTCTCTATAACGCGCTCACAGATCGCGGCATTTTGGATGACATGCAAAAGCGAGGCATTGAACACATCCAAGTGTATTGTGTGGACAATATTCTGGTGAAAGTAGCGGATCCGACATTCATTGGCTATTGTATATCGAAAGGGGCCGAAGCGGCGGCCAAAGTGGTACAAAAGGCGTTCCCAACCGAAGCCGTCGGCATTATATGCAAAGTGAGAGGAAAATACAAAGTCGTTGAATACAGTGAAGTCTCGCTACAAACCGCTCAAAAGCGCAGTTCAAACGGAAGGCTCACTTTCGACGCCGGAAACATTTGTAACCACTATTTCACTTTGAATTTCCTTAAAAATAATGTTTCGTAAGTTTCTATGAATTTTTTTGCTGTGAATTTTGATGTGATTTTATGACACCATTTGTCGTGTATTTCAGTGGAAAAGAGCTGATCCATCACATCGCGAAGAAGAAGATTGCATACATCGACACAAACGGCAAAGAAGTGAAGCCCGAGAAACCCAATGGAATCAAACTCGAAAAATTTGTGTTTGACGTCTTCGAGTTCACTGAGTGTGTAGTCTATATCGCCATTCGCTTTATTGTCACCGTTTTGTGAACTATTTTTAATAAATGTGTTTATTTGTAGCAAATTTGTTGTTTGGGAAGTATTACGTGAAGACGAATTCTCTCCGCTCAAGAATGGCGAGGGCTCTGATAAAGACAACGCCACTACCGCTCGCCTATCCGTCTATAATCTTCACCAGAGGTTTGTGTTGAGCTCTGGCGGAAAGTTTGTGGACGAAAACGGAAAAGCGATTCCTCTGATTGCGAGGTAAGACTTGTCCAACAAATATTTGTTTTTGTCGTTATTTGTCATGAATTGAATGGATTTTTATTTTAAATATATTGTTGTGTTCTTGTTATTTTGATTTCATATGATTTGACCATTTTATGCATGAATTTTAGTTTTGCTTTTGTTTTTTACCCTAATTTCCAGTCCAGTCAAAGTTGATTTGAATGGCAATAATAACGGCTCTGACATTAATGATAGCAATAATAATAAGTAATATATTATATAATTGATGTCTTAAAGCTTTACTAATTAATGAAAATGCTTTTGTTTGAATGGATAGCCATAATGACGGTCAAGTGATTTGCGAGATATCGCCGCTAATCAGTTATGACGGCGAAGGGCTCGACAAATTGGTTTCCGGACAGCAATTTCAAACACCACTAATTCTTAATGATTCCGACGGACAACCCATCAAAATGAAAACGCATGTCATTAAACAGACTAATGGCAACGCTATTGGGGTTAATGGTTATCATTAAAGTCGATTCAAATGTGATATTTATATTTAAAATGCATTTTATGTAAAATATTTTTTTAATGTTTTATTTCTATTTTTATTATTTGTTTCCATTATTTTTAAAAAGTATAAATTTGCAATTTTATTGAATTATTTTCATATGTAATTCAATGACAGATACGAACTAGATTTATATTACATGTTATGTTGAGTTTATGTCAACTATTTTACGCTTTTAATTAAAATATATTTATTTTTATTTATGAAAAATTG